TACAGACAACATTAAATGCTCCAGAAGACATAATTGATCCTATCCCCTTTACTAAAAAGGGAAGAAACATCAAAAAACAGGTGTTTAGCCTGTAAAATAGAGTTCTTAAATGAACAACTAAGGAAAACATTAGCAAGCAAGAACTGTATGTTTACTTCAGTGGGATAGTTCACAACTGAAAATCTAGCATGTGCCCAGGAATTTGCTGACTTTGTGGTTTTAGTTTCTTTTCATTCTCTATAAAATACTTACATCACATGCAACAGACCTTTATCAATATTTGCAGTGTTATGCAAGATACCTTCCTGAAAGCATTAAAAAAACCCACAAACCCAAACTATTGTGTATTCTCTTGGAGACCCCTCCAACAGGTATAATCACAGTAGCTAACATAGGCAACTGAAGCATGCCCTGCCTTGGAAAAGGAAGCACAACAGAAGCAAATCAGATTGGCTGGTTTATTGCACTATTCAGTAAGTTACCCGAGCTAAACAAATACTTGAACTCAAACCCAGCCTTGATAAAGACACTTACGCTTCAAATACCTCTTTTTAGTTCATTGGTTTATTTACTTTTCTGCAAGAAACACCGATGAACTGAAGTCAGATACTAACACTGATTATGAACATGAAAAATAGGCACTTTAACCATTAAGGAGAGGTGAGAAAAGGAAGAAAGTCCACCGCTGTAGTCTACATCTGCTTTCAACAGCAAACTGCAGAATGAGATGACTATATATATACACACACTATTGAGTTTCAAGCTGCTGAAACAATGATCAGTTTGCATGAGGGCAAGTATGCTATTGCTGCATCATTTTAAACCAATACATAGTCTTTCAGAACTTACACAAATCTCAAACTTTATCCCAGAATGAAGGCTACACTGAAAAACATCTTGGAACTGATTTTTCAGACATGCTAAGGCATGGGTTTAGCAGCTACTTACAGTAAAACCTGCACTGCGGGAAGTTCTCATGTCTCCCTCCAGAAATGGTCAGTGCTCTCCCAGCCTTAGAACAACATCTTGCTCCCTCTGGCTGGTCAGATCCCTTTCAGATCCCCCACCTTCCCCTTTCACAACACAGTACTTTTCAGAGTTTCCTAGTTGCATTGGTTTCTTGCCAGCCCACAACCCTTGCTGTGATCACCTATACAGACACTAACCCAAACCAGCCCCCCCCCCCCCCTTTTCCTTCTTCTCACATCCCCCCACCCCCACCA